AGAGAGAGAGAGAGAGAGAGAGAGAGAGAGAGAGAGAGAGAGAGAGAGAGAGAGAGAGAGAGAGAGAGAGAGAGTTTTTGCTGGGTATGGAAAGAGGAATAGAGGTCTGTTTAAAGCAAAGAATCGGTCAGTGGAAGTAGGGATGGACTACGTTGCCGATTGGCAAAAAGATGGTGATCGCTGTGAGTTGAATGATTTGTAAAAGAATATTCGAGGATGTTACTGTGGCTGCACCTTTCTCGTGTGTCACGATGAACTGGAGCAGCAGCATATGGATCAGAGTACCGTTATCCTTCTTCTTCTTCTCCTCCTCTTCTGCACCCACTTCAAAATTAAAATTCAAACAAAGATGTGTGCGAGTTTCTTACGATGACTGTGAACGATTTGTTTATTCCATTAACCGGTTCCATTATGCTTTTTTTTTTTTTTTCTTTTTTTTTTTTTAGTGCGGAGTTTTTCATCCGCTAATTACAAATTTCTAGACATTTCTTTTGTTTTTTTAGTGCGGAGTTTTCTGAGATGCTAATTTTTTATTTATGATGTTTGTTTGAAACATCGTTATTCTTATTTAAGCCTTTATGTCGTTGATTAAAATGTTTTGCAATATTTTATTGATTCTGATGGCCACCGATTTATCGGGGATAACAGCCCCAGTTTCGAGAGTGTGTCCCCAAACATCGGACGCATCTAATCGTTTTCACGACAACATTCAGTCGATGAAGTTGCAGCTTAGTTGTGTGATCATTCCCGATAATTATTTCTCGGTAAAAGTGAGAGCATGGGCCCTGGAAAAGTCCATCACCTTTTTGTCGCTTTCAGAATGTACCTTGCCCAATGGAGGGCCAGGTGCGTGATTTGTCCCCAGCCGCCCAGATGCCTCGATACATTGTGACAGTGGCAAATTTGTGATTCGTTTGTCTCGTCGGAGGACGCCTTTGGAGTTTTCCTAAGTGCTTGTCGTCCGTGTGCAGGTGCCATGCTAATTACTCTTCTCTGTATCGTTCCAACGCTAACGGGTGTCCCAAAGGACTGACGCCTATGTTTGGCTTCCTTCGTTGTCGAGTTCCTTCTGCGATGTGCAGGGGAAGATATTCCGCACGTATTTGCCACGTCAGCAGGGGGTTAGTTCTGCTTACCACAGCCTTCTTTGATCGTGATTGATTGATTGATCTCACATTTTAATTCACACAGCTGTTGGTGTCTCAGCCTTCAAGCTTTGAGGGCAAGAGATGCGACGCGGAGATGGGACAAGGAATTGGGACAAGGAGTTGGGATAAGGAGATGGGACAAGGAGATGGAACAAGGAGATGGTACAAGGAGATGGGACAAGATGGGACAAGGAGATGGGACAAGGAGATGGGACAAGGGTGGAGGTGGGAAAGATCTGGGGGAGGAGGAGATGGGACAAGGAGATGGGACAAGGGTGGAGGTGGGAAAGATCTGGGGGAGGAGGAGATGGGACAAGGGAGGAGGTGGGAAAGATCAATGTGGTATAGCGGTTCCCCGGCCCGCCACCCAAAAAAAAAGGAAAAAAAAAAGAAATATCAGCCGATGAGAGGAGCTTGGGGCCGAATTCGGAGAAGATTGGAACGATACAAAGGTGATTAGCATGGCCCGTGCCCAAGGATGTGACGCACATAAACCGAGAAATGGTCCAACTAAAAAAAAAACAAAAAAAAACAAAGAAGGAACTGGGGGCCGAAATCCGTGATGGGCTCGAGCTGTGTATGTCCGTTCTTTTGTTGTTCTTCTTTCGATCATCCCTGCGTTTAAACTCCGCAAAGCGAAATCAATCAAGCGAAGCAGTGAAAGGTAAAGTTGTTGAAAGTGTCGTCCTTGCCGACTCTCTGCTGATGGCGTGATCGTGGTCGGATTGGCGATGAACTGTTGAAATACCGACCTGAGCTCGAACCCAGGTCACGCTAGAACCCAGGTCACACTAGATGACTGAAATTAAAACCATTCTGAAAGACTGAAACCAATGTGCCTCTCAGTTGGTGCACCCATGGACTGTTGAAGTACAGACCCAAGTTGGTGGACTCAAGGGGCCGCAATCTGTTTTTTTTTTGTTTTTTTTTTCCAAGGGACGCAATCAAATGAACAAAATATTTTGTTCTTTTTTAAATATAACGAAAAAAGGCTAATTCTTTTTATTTATGCGTGTCATCCTTGCGCAGGGGCCATGCTAATCTTCATTCTCTGTATCGTTCCATTTTTTATTTTTTATTTTATTTTTTCCGTTTTTCGTTTTTTTTTCGTTCGTTCCAATTTTAACGTATGTCCCGCGGGACAAAGGGTAATTCTCAATCACCTGCCGAATCTGACAGCGAGGCATTTGAGGCAGGTCCCTCTTTATTGTCATTATTGTCATTATAGTATTACGGGGAGCCCTGATCGGGATTATCGAAGGATCCTTGGGGGGGTTCATCCGCCTGATTGTCTGTATTTAGCCTGCATAGCATACTCTATACGTTCTGCCAAGATTCCATGATAAGGAGGTGTCGCCCCGCTTCAGGGCGTCATGCACTTACGCTGTTGCAACTGGATGGCAGCAACAGACGGCGGCTGCTCAAATCTCATGTTAAGTAGAGCAAAGTCGAGGAAGCATACGGCCAACTCTCTCTCCCTCGTTCACAGGCACACATATACACAACCCACTCGGGGCAGACAATACCCCTCCCACGCAAACGCACATGAGTCACTTCGGGTATACGCGCGCACACAATCCACTCCTGGGCAAAATGGGGCCTGGACCTCTCTCTCTCTCTCTCTCTCTCTCTCTCTCTCTCTCTCTCTTGTCCCTAGATGAGAAACCTCACCCTGATCTTATGAAAGTGCACACTGACTCACACAACCAACCCACCTGGGATGCGCACACACGATGGACACAAACAAGCCACTACACACACACAAGCCACTGGGGGACACACACTACACACACACACACACAAGCCCCTGGGGGACACACGCACACACACACAAGCCACTGGGGAACAGACAACCATACACAACCTACTTTGGGGCGAAACGGGCCTGAACGTCTCTCTCTCCCTCCCTCCCCCCCCCCCCTCCCCCCGGCTCCTTGAGGAGAAACCTAACCCTAATCTGGAATGGTGTCAAATGGGTAGTGGAAAGGGTTTTTCTCTCCCACAGTGAGGAGAAACCTTACCCTAATCTCCAGTGATATGAAATGAATGCAGGAAAGGGGTTGAGGAAGGAACATGGGGTCATATGTCTCCCTCCCACACACCCCGCGCATGCCCCCCCCTCCCTCTCTCTCTCTCTCTCTCTCTCTCTCTCTCTCTGAGAGGCAACTGTTCAGCGATGAGTCGTACAACTCGGGTCTCTCACAGTGTGTGGATTGCCGTGGGGAAGGGCCTTTTTGTCTTTTTTCTTTATATGAAAGAATGGGAAAGGCTGATGGAGGGGCACTAACTTGGCACTCTTCTGTGACTGAACTGACATCTCAGTCATCACAGTGACCGAGGCAAAGTAAGATACACGGTTGCTGGGATTGATTGAAGAGTAGCAGAAGCTGACAAGTCGGATTCTCGGGCCTTGTCCACAGGACTTTTTGGAAAGTGTTGTCGTCTACGTGGTGCTCTTGAGTAATTCGCAGTATGATTGGGAATGGCCAACTACCGGTAGTTGGTAATTGGGCACCGAGTCTACCCGGGGCATAGATAGGGAACAGTTGCTCTCGTAATCCCTATCTCTAGTCAGTAGTTGGTCTATCAGTCCCTATTGCTACCACCATATAGAAACTACCACCATATGAATCCCTAAATGCATTCCGACGCGTGATCATTTTCAATGTGCGTGGTTGTAAAAACGTCCAGACGCACGTGGAGTGCTGTGTAGTCAACCGAATGAAGTTTGAGCCCTTGGGGTGCATCCAGTGTAGGATCATCTGTCTTTGTGAGTTTTTGCGAAATCAGAATGCAGGCATTACCTGGATTCAAGATGCTGGGGTCAGGTTTCGACAAAGTGAGCAGGATGTGGGGTCAGATTTGGCAAAGTACAGCCGAATGTGGGAATGGTCACTGGATGTTCTAGTGGCTGAGATAGCAACGAGAGAGGGTACAGTTCCATGTTTCTATGCATCTCTCTCTTGCTCTCTTGCTATCTCCCTCTCT